GCGCCACCGCCGCCACGTACTGCGTCTGCTAACTCCATGTTAACAGACATGCGAGGGTAAAATCTTGGCGACGTCACGAAGGAGAATGGCGCGTCACATGCCTTTGACGCCACGACAGCTTCCAACTTCGATTTGCCTCACAAAACCTGTGTCTCTCATCTCTCCTTACTGCCTCGTGTTTGTTTGTTCCCCAGCACACTGCCAACTACTCTGTGTGCATCACCGATTCCCTGTTAATACTGTGATTGCATCTGCATTCCCCGTGATCGTTTACAGGCATACTCTGACGCAAAGATATTTGACTAGTTAATAAAGTGATTTCTGTCTCCCCTCACTCTTGCGTAATTCATCGAATCCGGGGTTTCGAGTAGAATCTGTGTGTTCACAGATCGAATCTTGCCTCAAGTGTTGCTGCAGTTTAAGAAAGTTAGTTTTTAGAAAACGGTGTAACAAACGAATATCACTCGTAGCCATTACCCAGGCGTATCACTCGATACGTCTTACCTTGACCGACTGTTAGATTAACTGGGACAAGATCACTTCCAATGTTGGTCTTAACTGCTCTAGGCAACCTGGACCTCATGTCGAAGTGTACAGCAACACCTCTGAAAATCAATAAACCCCGTTCGACACTTGCACCAGTCTCGTCCAATCACATCTGCGACTACAAACAATAATATACTGCAAAGCACTATAAACATCAAGTTATTTTTACTGGTAGATACATATGATGACGATGTCACACTCGTTAGTTTGTAAGATTTCTCACACAACCACTTGCAATGTAAACTGGCGCAGCACCCAGATACAGAAGATAATGCTTGATTGCTGCCAGATGCAGCATTAAAGCGGCTTAATACTAGTTGTTTGAATGTCTCACGTGTCATTTGGCCTGCACACGTGCATGAAAATCTAATCAGAATATGCACTTTTGCTATTTTATTCTCAAAAGATAGAAGACGTGCATAGGCTGTCAACACAAGTTGAATCTGCACCACCGAGTTCTGTCAACACACATTCCGCAGCACGACAACTACGCGAACACACAAAAGTCACACACAACTACTCTAACATGGACGCCGAATCATTTATTCACGTTTTTGTACAGTAAATTGCATTGACTTTTGAGTGAACATTTATGTGGCCCTTCCATAATTCTGGCAATGCATTGTGCCAACACTTTTAGATCACTTAAACCACTGGCAAATAACATTCTGTCTAACGAAGATCTGTCTCTCACGCAACATAATCAAACTCACTAGGCTTTTACCTACTTCGTGCATAAGATCAAATAAATATAAATATTGAATAGGCACCACTATATCTCTCACGAACTCAAATGCCTGCCAGTTATGCTGATGAGACACACGTCGAGCACCACATGTAATGGGGCACGAGAACATCATGCCGTCACCATCAATACTTGTGATTTGTCTAACAACCAACATTAACATCGGGTCCGCGACGCCAGTTTCACTCAACGCATGTCTCCGAAAAATCATGTCAGAGTTTACACTTGCCTTGGTATTTTTTGCTAGATTGAAGACGTGCATAGACTGTTAACACATGTTACAAACCACGACAACTACGCGAACACGCGAACGTTACACAGAGCCACTCAAACGCTGACGCCTAATCAATTATTCATGTTTTGTTCTGTCGATTTTATTCATTTTTCATTTAACAATTTCATGGCCCTTCCATTATACTAGCAATGCATTTTGCCTACACTTCTAGATCACTCGAATCTCTAGCCAGTAACATTCTTTCGAACAAACATATGTCGCTCACGCAAAACAATCTATCTTCCTGCGTATGATCAACAGATGTTAATATTTACTGTCATTATTTGACTACGCACCACAGACACTTTCAGGATCTCAAGTATCTAACACTTGTAATGGGCACAAGAACATCATGCCGACACCATTAACACATGTGACTAACATTCACAAGAAGCATATTTACTCAAAGCATGTCTCTAACAATTAATCTTGTTCAATCTACTTTAAACTGCATCCGAACAAATCCCGATTTACTGCTTCACGTTCCGCATTCTCGAACACTATCACTGCTTAATTTTACACTTCATAGCACAA